TGCCTCGCTTGGCGCTCAACATTAAGAGGTTAGTGCTAGGACTGGTCGGCCAGGTGTCAGGATAATGTGACTGGGTGGGACGTGACGCAACATGTCTGCTGCGTTATGTTCTAGTGCTAGACATCACTCTAAACAACCTCACTACAGACATCCTAGCGACATAACTAAAGTTGTTAAAGATAACTTAAAATCTAAATCACACACATATGTCTTTTTTGAAGATATTTGCTTATAATAGACATTATCTCCAAAGCGTAGAAGTTACAGCTGAAAAATAAATTAAAACGTGTTATCCATTTTAAAATGCAGCACGGTTTCTTTTTTAATTACCAACGTCTTCTTTACGGTAAGGGACATTTTCTCCTTAAGAATCGTTGATTGTTGCACCGGATTATGTTGATAGCCACCAAATTGGGACTTTTAATTTCAGCAGGGGTTCTCTCCAAGCCATTTTTTGCAAGTCTCTCTGTTTGTATTGCTGCTTGTGCAAATTAAATATGTAATATTTTAGTATAATCTATTTACTTAGGAAGATACGGGTTTCTTATGATGCGTCTGTTCAAGCTGAGTACAGTCTAAGCTGTACAGTAGGTTAGTACAGAATTCTTAGAGTTTCACCGCACACCATTATGTCTGCAGAACAACGCAGACTATGTCACTTTAAAGTCGTACAATACAAACTAGATATAAGTTCCTATAGTATACAGAAACATCCTTAATTGTGTCAGCTTTACTATCCTTCATTGTTGTTAAACTACCCACCCCCCACAAATTCTATTTTAATTTATCCACTGTCAACATTGTGCTCCGGTCAGTGGCCTGGTGGTTAGAGCATTCACCTTGGACACGGGAGGTCACGGGTTATGACTGGTAACCTAGGATCGAGATAGTATGACTGGGTGGAACATAATGCTAAAGCTCAACGCTGGACACCACCGTAAACTGCCACACCGCAGACCTATTAGATATATCAATAATTATTATTTTTTTAAACAAAAAAAAAATACGTTAAGAATACAACTCTCACACAACACACACACGCTCTCTCTCTCTCTCTCTCTCTCTCTCTCTCTCTCTCTCTCTCTCTCTCTCTCTCTCTCTCTCTCTCTCTCAATCTCTCTCTCTCTCTCACACACACACACACACACAGACATGATCCGGAGAAAAAAATGAAGTTCAACACGATTTAATTGCCATCACGTTTGAATACTTAAAGTCATATATTTTCTCTATTATATTAATATTCTTTTTACAAATTTCCATAACTATTTTTTCTTATCACATGTCCCTATTTGACGGGTTTTGAATTGGCTAGTTTTTCAAAGGTATACAGGTGTTACATTTTGGGGGTTTACTCCCGGAGCCGTCCAACGCGACATCTAATTAAAGGTTTTGCTGTGTTTTTGGGAACGTAACATCTGTTTTTACAACAAAGACGCGAACCCGTCTTAACCAAATAAACATAAGCCGACTAATAGGATTAGCTCTAATGGGACTAAAATATTTTTGGCGCCCTAGTGGGATAAGCTCTAATGGAGTGCGCTCTACGGAGACTTTACCATTTTCCCACTTTAAACAAAGTATTGCTGTATAAGAAAAGCGTGCCCGTTACCCATCCAATGTCCACAACAATTTTCCCACTTTCAACAAAGTATTGCTGTATAAGAAAAGCGTGCCCGTTACCCATCCAATGTCCACAACAATTTTCCTACTTTAAACAAAGTATTGCTGTATAAGAAAAGCGTGCCCGTTACCCATCCAATGTCCACAACAATTTTCCCACTTTAAACAAAGTATTGCTGTATAAGAAAAGCGTGCCCGTTACCCATCCAATGTCCACAACAATTTTCCCACTTTAAACAAAGTATTGCGGTATAAGAAAAGGGATGGCAAATGAATTAAATAAATCCTGTGCATATCAGGCCGTTCAGTCTGATACAACATAAAGACCTATATAAACAGTCAAAGCCATTAAATTTTGGCAAAATCAGTTACGAATTTATGGCTGTTTTGGGCAGAGATCATGATGGGAAAATTTGGATTAGTTTGAGTTGCTCATCTTAGTTGTTTATGGGTATTCTCTTTGTTGTCCACATAATACATAAGCTTTCTCCTGGAAGCTGTCTCGGTAATTAGAACAAACATGGCGTGTGTGTAATATTATCATTGGAAAATTACATGAGAAAAAATAAAAGCAAGAAACTCCCAGAAAAAAAAACAACTAATGAACAAATAAATCAGAGTACGAATTCAGTTGCTTGAATTCAAACTCAGAACAATGCTCATTTTGTTATGGCGTTGGAAATTAAAACAGCATTTGATAGTCCGCAGGGAATGGAAACTTGTACACAAAATATCAAGTAGTGAAAACACACACACACACACACACACACACACACACACACACATATATATATATATATATATATATATATATATACAAGCAAATTGTTTTAATATCCAGGTAGAAATAGCGATGTCCTACTTCTATTTTTAGGATTGAGAAAATTGTTTCTTATTTTTTGTCCTTTCTTTTTATATAAACTTATATAACTTAATGGTGAATATATTGCAATTTATCTACTCCATCTTTTGCAGAAGATTTACTTGTTCTCAATGCACAGCAAATATAAAAGAACATTTTCTTAAAATTGTCAACAAATTCAAAAGAATCGAGACAACCAACGGGTTTTGTTTGAAAATCTGTTTGTTTTGGACGTTTAGTATTAGATCTTTATAAACTGTTTTTTTTTTTTGAATTGGTCTTTTTTATTGATCAAATTTGATGTAATATATCTTGTTTCTTGCAATCTACCATGCCCAATAAATTTTAGCACATAGTAGTCTTTACAGTCATAAACATTTCTTTGTACTAAAAGTTTTGTATATAAAGTTGCGTTAATAATTACCGTTGATCCAATTTATACATTTTCATCAAATATAGTCTAACATAAACTTTGAAGCGTTCAGTTATTAATGCTTGCGAATGTTTAAAACATTCAAACAAGATCGAGCAGAATATGTAGCAAATTATGTTGCAAATCAGTTCAACGCATCATTTTATTTTTGGTGAACCTTTTTATGTGAACTTATTTTAAGATTTTTTTTTCAGTTCTAAACGTATAAAGAATGTGCCAACCATTGTTAGTCAAATGTACATTGGGTTGAAATAACTGCCGTAATTTTAGCTATTTTGTAGATAAGAATCATTGCTTATATATTTTTCCGATCACGTGAAAATGACACCGGTCGAAATATTTATAGAGATGTCAAATTGGATGAAGCGCTGACCGCTGCCAGCTGATTACGCCACATTAGGTCTTCCGGTTTGCGTAATCTATAAATCTTAATGGAATAGCTGCCCTTATTGTATAGGAGTTAGGAACTTGTTTTGTTTGGTTTCTTTTTTTCCAAAACGATGTGGCGCTTGTTTAAGGAATTGTAACCCCGAGCGCTTATTTACGTAAGCTTCTCAACCAGTGACACCTTTTGATCTCTCCGACACAGGCGTCATGGTTTTGCGAATGTTAACGGCGTGCCCAGTAAGGACAGGAAGCTTATTAGGCACTCACGGTTAAAAAAGTATTCTGGTTCGAATAGAGAAGTCAGTGTGCATCATACTTACCTGAGAAAGAACACGGCAGAAAAATGGTAATACTTGGGATTTATGCTATATATATATATATATATATATATATATATATATATATATATATATATATATATATATATATATATATATATATATATATATAGGAGTGTGGTATGTATATTTATAATTGCCATTAGTTATTTAAGAATTTCTCTTTGACAAAACATTTAGTGGGATAGTAGAGTACGTTAAGCACAATAGCACGAAGAATTGTTTGTCTCTCTCCTCTGGTGTCATAGTTGGTATCATCTCGCCTCTGCCTGCGTGATTACGAGTCGCGGGCTCGGCTAATATGGGTATCTGAGAAAGCTTGACAGTAGCGTCCCGTGGGTTGGTGGTTCTCCCATGTTCTTCTCCACAAGCTGAACTGGCCGCCATGTAAACTCTCTCTCTCTCTCTCTCTCTCTCTCTCTCTCTCTCTCTCTCTCTCTCTCTCTCTCTCTCTCTCTCTCTCTCTCTCTCTCTCCGGTGCAAGAAGAGTCAAATATGTGATAAAATAACGATGTTTTGTAACTTTTCTTTTTCAGTACTCGTGCATATAATATTCGTTTGCTCAACCTTCACTTTGTATTGTAACATAGAGCTCGCCATATAGACCTTTCATTCATCAGTTTATATTTTCGGTTCCTATTGTTATTACGTAGTCAATATTACTTTAATTTTTTAACAAAACACATTTTATTGACTAGCATAGTGCCAGTTTGCTTATGCATTTTATTTATTTATTCTTGAGGACTGCTTTGATATAGGCTTAACTTGCCGACATCAATACGATCCGAAACATTCCTTAAGTTTCTGTAACTTTGAGGGATACGTCAGTTGAACTGAACATATGTGTATGAGTTCAACATTTTTATTCTTTATTTTGTTACGTTTTTAGAATTATTCAAAGCCGATGCTATTCACACTGTTTTTGTGCACATGTACTAATAATAAAGATTGTTTGCACGATCGCTGGTATATCATTTAGATTGAATAATCACACGGCCGTCGTGTAGCTCATGTTGCCGTATTACCCGATCAGCGAAATACGGCCGTCGTGTAGCTCATTTTGCCGTATTACCCGATCAGCGAAATACGGCCGTCGTGTAGCTCATTTTGCCGTATTACCCGATCAGCGAAATACGGCCGTCATGTACCTCATTTTGCCGTATTACCCGATCAGCGAAATAAGGCTGTCGTGTAGCTCATTTTGCCGTATTACCCGATCAGCGAAATACGGCCGTCGTGTACCTCATTTTGCCTTATTACCCGATCGGCGAAATACGGCCGTCGTGTACCTCATTTTATCAGCGAAATATCCTTCATGTTGCAACTGGTTTTTAACTAATTCATTCGTTATTACATCGCTCCGGTGGCCTAATGGTTAGAGCGTCCGCCTTGGATGCGGGAGGTCGTGGGTTCGATCCCCGGTCGAGTCATACCAAAAACTTGAGTCGTACCAAAGACTTACTAAAATGGTACTAACAGCTGCCTCACTTGGCTCTCAGCATTGAGAGGATAGTGTTAGTACTGGTCAGCCTGGTGTCAGGATAATGTGACTGGGTGTGGCATCATGCTACATGTCTGCAGCATGATGCCCCAGTGCTAGACATGACTATAATCTGTCACACTGCAGACATCGAGAGATATGACTGAAAAATTGTTAAAGTTATTTGCAGACAGTGCCATTTTAAGGTATAGGTACACAAGGCACGTGCCTTGGGCCCTGCACAGCAGAGGTCTCTGCGACGTACCACAAAAAAATTCTGTGTCGGCGGTGTTAGTAGTTTAATACTATATTAATAAATTTCACACACATGCACATGGAAATGCAATACAATACTCTATATCTGTGACTGAGAAACTGAGGCTTATTCCTGGTTATTTTTATGGTTAAAGTTTGTGCCTGTAGCCCCCAAACTTCTTAAAATGGATCTGTTTGCATGTCTCTTGTTAAAACCACAGGAGACTGCAGTTTTATCAATTAAAACAAAAAAAATTTCTGACATGAAATCAACATAATGGTGTGTTAATATATAATACCGTTAAGTTGATTTCATGTCAGAAATTTTGTTGTCCTTTATTGATAAAACTGCAGATTCATTTGTTAAGACTTCCACAATGCGATACACTTGTACCATCCTGTAGAAATATTTTAGAATAGGTATTTAGTGAATCTTGTGGATAAAAAATTCCAGTAGGCCTAATAGTCACCTTTTTAAGTTGTTTGCTCAAGACCAACACATTTTTTTTAATACTCAATCAAGTGGGCCAGCTATAGTGTACAAAACATTTGAAAGTAGCAGTTTTCTTAAGTAATAGCAGCTGTTTACATTTGTGTTTCATGGGTTACTAAAAACACCAAAATACACTCAAAAACTGAAATACACACCAAAATACTCAAAAACTGAAATACACACCAAAATACTCAAAAACTGAAATACACACCACAATACACTCAACAACTGAAATACCACAATACACTTAAAAACTGAAATACACACCAAAATACACTCAAACTGAAATATACACCAACATACACACAATAACTGAAATACACACCAAAATACACTCAAAAACTGAAATACACATCAAAATACTCAAAAACTGAAATACACACCAAAATACACATATGTATTTTGCTCCATAATAATACTGTACTATGATCTGTCTATTTGAAAATTTTTTTTAGTGATTTTTATAGGAATTGCTTACATTGTTTCTATTTTCATGTGACAATGTCACTAGATCATACTTGATTGGTCATCTTTTATTTTGTTTCTGTTTCATTTTTATTTACTTTTGAACACAAATATATGGTTTTTCACTGAAAATTCATAAACACACATTCTGAATTCTCACAATTATAATATGCCTCATATATTTTAGTTACAACTGAATTGCAATGTATCACAAATCAGTCCCTTACCCATGACATATTGATTTTCAGTTCAGTGGTTGATATCAACTATTTATTAAAAGCTGCACAAATTGCAGCCAGTCCTACATTTGGTCACTTGTAAATCCATGCAGAAAAGGATAACTGTATGTCCTGTGGCCATTTTGAATTTCATGCTAGGTATGGCTGTAACCAATTATTGGTATGTGTCTAATGTGTACATAGGTTTGTTCTGGAAAGTTTTGCATGCATCAGAATTGCACATTTTAAGGTACAGGTGACATCAGATCCAGTATCTCTTATAAGTGCCAACACAGATTGGGTACTTGTGTATGATTTATTGGACTAATCTAGTAGAACCACTTGCTGTCATTACAAGGGTTATAGCAGGAATTGGTTAAAGTAAATAATTCTATTAGACTCTCAGACTTAAATCAAAGTTTTGTTTTATTATTATTATTATTATTATTATTATTATTATTATTATTATTATTATTATTATTATTATTATTATTATTATTATTATTATTATTATTATTATTAAAATATTTACAAATCATAATATTGCAGAGTGCACCAACATATACAAACCAAACATGTTAATAATTGTTTATGTCTGTGTTTATTTTTGTGTATTTAATTTTTTTTTAGTGTTTTTCTGTATTTCTTGTAACTGGTTTTGAGTGATACACTCTTAAAATGTACATTCTCAAAGTAATTCTTTTGTAATTTAAGATAACTAGGTAGTCATTAAAATTAAAAAAATAATGAATAAATTACAAAAAATGGGGAGTTTGATCTTGGATCATTGTGTGACATGTTGACAAATTTCCACTCTGCATAGTTGATAGGAGAAGAAACAAATTGTTTACTTATGATTTGTTTGTCTCAAAATAAAATTCTGGGCTTTTAAAAGTAAAACTAAAATATCCCAAATTTGTTATCTCTTGGGGAGAAACCACAAAATTTCACAGACTAACCTCTAATTGTTTGCATACCTGGTCAAGAATATTATAATTAAATATTGTTAATTGATGGCAGCTGTGCTAATTGTGTAAAGTTTGGTACATGGCTTCTAATGCAAAATGGACACTATGGAACAATTTCTGTGTTGAAAAATGTAGTTCAGTAATTTGACCACCAAACCTGTAACAGTTTTGATGGGCTTGTTGTTTAGATCATTTGAAATATTTTGGATTCTTGCTTAAGGCATAGGCTAATCGCCATGCTGATAATCTTTTTTGCTGTGTGCACACAGAAGTGGTGAAATATAGACACTTCCAATATTAAAACTAACATTAGATGCAGACAACAGTTTTGCTGAAAATAGACTGGTCTAGAAACCAGAAATAAACCTGAACAGCCTTTCAGTTTTTGATGACAGCAGCATCTGTTTTGTTGAACACACATACAAAATGATATTGTTAGAAATTACATATTGATGAATGTGATATTTTGTGCATTTTAGAAAGAGAATTACACTTTTCATTTTTATAAAAATTTAAATGAGGGATTGGTGGTAGACAAATACACCCCTCCCATTTTTTCTACTCCCCAAACCAATTTTAAAACTTATAGCATGAAAGATATAAAAAAATGCACAGAACATGGACATTTCATTCTTCGATTTATAATTTCTAACCTGGCTGTCACAAATGGGTCCAGAACACCATCAATTTACATGTACTGGCGTTTTAAACAAAACAGAAGCCATCAATGTGAACAAGCAGATAGACTACTTACTGTCCTTTTCTGGTTGCTAGAACAGTATTTCAGTAAAAGTGGTCATTTGCATCTCTTATTTCGTAATGTATAGTTTTAATATATTTAAAACCAATTGAACAAACAAATATATACATATTGAAGGATAAATGTAACTCCAAATTGTGTGGATTGATTCAAAGATGGTGGACTATATCACATCTGTTGCTTGAAGAGTCAGCCATGCAAATATGGTGACTATGTTACTTGTGATGTGTCGAATTTTGAAAACTCTTAGAAGCATTGGTTAAAGGAATTGTATCAAAGTCAACTTAATTAAAGTAGAAAGGCTAGAGATAGATGATTAATTTCATTTCATCTCTGAACAACAAAAGGGAATTCCTTCCAACAGACTTAACTTGATTCGTATGCTATGGTACAAGAGAATGACGTAAGACCCCAAAATCGACCAGGTAAAGGGGTGAAGCTGGCCATAAATGATTGTTCAAAGGAACGTTAATTACACCATGATTAGTTGTTTAGTTGTCTTGTCAATCCAATTCTACAGAACAGATTTAGGAAACAGTCTATTCCAATTGGTTAATATGGATTTATGGGCGTAACTCTGTAAGAAATTAAAGGTTTTACTTTAGAAAAATTCTTTAGTCTTCAATCTTTCTTGAAAGAAGAGTGGTCGACTCCGGGAAAAGCGTGAAAGACGTTATCTCATGATTCGGTAGTAAAGCGTGAGAGTTGTCTCAGTGAGTAGACAAACTCTATCTTTGAATTCGTAAAAAGCAGGTTTTCATTATTGAGTAAGGGGCCAGATAGTTGTCTTAGGAGACAGACTATACCTGAGGTTTATGGAAATGAATAAAGAAAACAGCAAAAGAAAACAGCTTTCCTGGATTCACCTGAGAAATCCCTGAACCAATCACAGGACCAGAGCAAATTTTAAGTCGAAATCTAAGTCCAGAGACGATTGTTAAATCAGAGTTTGATGGACAAGAGTCCAAGACCAAACAGCTAGACAAAGATCAGCAAAGCAGGGACGAATGAAAGTCTTGATGTCTGCATAAAATAGGTGATGAAGTCTCTCATTATTGCACTCAAAAGGTCACATCTTGTTGGCAATGAAGATAGAATATTAAAGTTGAAAGTAATTGTAGCCTTTAAAAAAAAATTGTATTGTCTTTTTATTTGAGTACATGTTAGTACAATTTTCCTACTTTTGTAACCAAGTAATTGATTTCTTTTCATTTTAAATTCTGTTGATAAACTGATTAAATTTTATATTTGTTCATTGAAAATGGGGCTCATTGTGTTTATTTCTTCAATATACTTGTTCAGTGATCTGCATTCTTCTATCTATCCACACTGGGTAAATTACACAGGGGAGGTCATTCCCTAGCAACAAACCGTAGTGAAAGAGGTTGGTGTGTTTTGAACGCAGCCAATTTGTCACATTACTAAAGGAACTCCCATTTGATTCAAAAAGCCAAGTGTTCAGTGAGGTTAGAAATTGTGAATTGATGAATGAAATGACTAAGTCTTGTGCATTTTTTATATCCTTTATGGGTTATCATTTTAAAATAGAGGGTACAAATAAATGAGGAATGTGTGCATAATATAGTGCATTTTGCTATGGTGCAATTATTTCTGTTGCACCTGAATTTAATACTGATTACTATGTACACTGGTATATAATTTATTAGTCCATTTTCTAGTCAGATCATTAATTTATATTTACATTACTTCTTCCACAGGATGACAGTTATTTTTGTACTAATTATTTTTGAATGTTTAAAATATAATTATTTCATATTCAAAAAATGATAG